TGAAGAACAATGATGTCAGTTTGAAGACTAAAGGGTCCTCATCCAAGCCATGGTCTTAGCAATTCTTTGCCATGTATCAGAAAGTTGAACAATGACTAGGGATGATACAAGGAGAATTGATACCTTTGACCTGTGGTGCTGGAGAAGAGTACTGAATGGACTGCTGGGAGAAACATGGACAAACAGGTTCGTCCTAGAGAGGGTGAGATCAGACTGTTCCTTGGAGGCAAGGATTCTGAAGCTTTTTCTAATGTACTTTGGACATGTTGCAAGGTGGGATCAGTCCCTGGAGAGGGACATCATGCTTGGGAGGATGGAGGGACAGCAGAAAAGAAGAAAACCCTCAATGAGATGGATTAATTCAGTGACTGGGGTCCTGGAGGTAGATGTGTCAGACACAATAAGATTGACAAAGGATAGAGCAGGGTTTAGTGCTGTTGTATATAGGGTCACTATGAGTCACAGGTGACTCGAAAGTACATCACAACAACAATATAATAACTGTGATGAATTCATGAAGCCAGAAGCAGATTTTTGTTAGGTAAAGTATCACTGATAAGATGATATTTAAGGGCATATTTGCAGGAGCCAGGTCATGGAGGATTCTTGCAAGTATACGAGAACTTTTGGACAAAGATCAATAAACAATTTCTCAAGCAAATATCCTATTATTATAAGCAACTCTTAGGCAAAGAGTTGAGAAATAGTTCAAGAAACACTACTGCATAACTTTCAGAAAACAATATTTATTACTTGAGAGAAGAAAACAAAGCTTACCTTTATTTTTGACCTTTATTTTTTTACCATCAACAAATACCTGGTCGCATACTCTCTGATGAGGATTCCTTTTAATTTTTCCAAATATACTTCACTATTTATGTGCTATGTTCTGTAATATCAAATACCACACCTTTTCCTACACGAGTTTCTGTCATGGATGTGATGGTACTTTAACTCCTCAGTGACTAGCTTAAATTATTCTGTGTTCATGCCAAGTCTCTCTTTCTGAATCCAACTCAGTTAACGGAAAATTACTCAGCACATCTGCGCTATGTCTGCGCTGGAACTCTAAATAGATTCAAAAGAGATACAGTATCTGTTCAAATGTGACATTAGCATAATGAAACCTAAAGTGTACTATAAATATTATAGATGCTGGGATTATTTGAAAACATGACAAGAGGGCTGTGATAGACTAGCAATAAGCAACAATCTCATTACAAGCACCTTCTCTCAGGTAAGTTTCTTCCCCTCCGTCTGTTTACGTGAGTTCTTTAAGGCCCTTATAGCTGTGTTCTTATTCTTCTGGAAGATAGTAATATTAAGTGATAACTTTGGACTCTTGAATACTAAATGAGAGCATGTGTAATGAGTTCAAAACAGGGGCAAAAACCTAAGGAGCACAGAAAAACAAAACCTACTGAAAATATGGGGGTTCACAGAGCTTGGTGGGTGGAGGGAGGGGTAAACAAATTAGGAATGATACATTAGGGACCTGAAAAGAAGGGGGGGGGGGTTAGGGAGGAAAATGTGCAACAATGAATGAATGGAAATCCAAGTTTTCTGTAAACTTTCTTTAATATTGTTGTTGTTGTTATGTGCCGTCGAGTCATTTGTGACTCATAGCGACCCTATGTACAACAGCCCTAAACCCTGCTCTATCCTGCACCAACCGCACTGCCTCCGATACACCCATCCCGATTACCCCAGTCACCAAATCAATGCATCTCATCTGGGGTCTTCCCCTCCTGCGCCGTCCCTCCACCCTCCCAAGCAT